TTTAGTTTGAAGGCAAAATCTTATAATTACCAAAATCAAGAGGCACCACAAGAAGGGACTGCAGGAAGGATTTGTATCCTTGTTCTCTTAAAATTCGTAATTATGTCTTTTCTAGTATTTCAAAATATTCTTAGAATCGTTCCAAAAATATTTTTTTAAAAACCCATGTATAGTCCTTCAATAAATAATTATGAAAAATCCATAGCAGTACTTAAAAAGTTCTTAGAAAAAATGCGATTGTCCCCAAACAATAGAACTTAAAAAATTCTAAAAAAATTTTTTTTTTTTTTTTTTTTGATCACCCTTTCGAGATAAATTCACAATGCTGGCTTTTAAACCCCTTCAAAAATGCACTTTCCTAAATTACAGCCCATAAAAATATTATTAACCAGTAAAGAAAGTCCTAAAGTCGGGCGGGGCCGACTTTATTATACCCTACACCACTTTGCTAATTTAGTAGAGCTCCAAATAATAATTAAAAGATTTGATGGGAGAATTTAATCATACTCGCTATGATTATAATTGAAATTTAAAGATCAAAAGACTAAATATGCCGAAGCATTTGTATCTTTTAAATTCGGACTAGTATTGCCCATTTGGTGCAAAATTAATGTGAAATCAGATAAAGATATATATGGGAGCTATATCCAAATCTGAAGCGATCTCGATAAAATTTGGCAAAGATATGTCTGAGCTGTATTTGATATAGTTCCCGGAATATCGTTGTTGCGGAGTGCATATTACGGCTGTGGGTAACAAATATAACAAATCGGATGAACCATATATATGGGGGCTATAGCTATATCTGAACCGATCTTCACCAAATTTGGCATACTAGCTTCTAGACTCAATTTGGTCGCATGTGCCACATTCCATCCCATTTGGGCAAATATTAGACGTTTGGTGTACAATAAAATTTAAATCGGACGAAGTTATATATGGGAGCTTTATCCAAATCTGAACCGATCTCGATAAAATTTTGCAAAGGTATTTCTGAGCTACATTTGATATATTTCCCCAAATATTGTTGTTACATAGTGCATATTACGGCTGCGGAGGACAAAAATAACAAATCGGATGAACAATATATATGGGAGCTATAGCTATATCTGAACCGATTTCGATCAAATTTGGCATACTTATTTTCAGGTCCAATCTGATCGTACGTGCAAAGTACCATACTATTCGGACTGATATTACACGTTTGGTGTACAATAAAAGGCAAATCGGACGAAGATATATATGGGAGCTATATCTAAATTTTGACAGATACAATTTCAATAGGGTTCGTCCTTGGGCCAAACAAATGATTTGTGCAAAATTTCATCTGGATAGGGCAATAAATGCGAACTGTACTTTGTTTACAAAAATACATGGACAGACGGACGGACAGACGGACGGACATGCATAAATCGACTCAGAATGTGATTCTATGCAGATCATCAAAAGAAACTATGGGTCTATCTCGTTTCCTTTTGCCTGTTACAAACAAATGCACAAAGACATAATACCCTGACCACCTTGTGGTGTAGGGTATAAAAAAAAGATATGCACGATTCCAACTCTGAAATTCCTTCCAGAAATCTTTAAGAACTCGATTATAGTCTTTGCGAGCTATTTTTGAAGACATTTCTAAAAAATCCAGGACTATAGCTATAAGAGTCCATAACAACATTATTTAAAGATCACGATTACAGTCGAATAGCCCTCTAAGACATAGATACGCAATTACATTTCTAATAGTTATCTATTCTTTTAAAACCGATGTTCCATCTCTGATAGACTTTTTTAATCTCATCAAAATTTTAACCTTAAATCAATTTTCCAAGAGGCAAGTTTGCCTCTTCGATTAGCCCCCCTCAGCTTTCCAGTCCATATCTTTCACATTTAAATGTAACTGAAATTTAAATTAAAATTACAGCATCGTCCACAAATTCCACATTTAATTAAACTTCAGCGAAAAGACATCGCGTCACAAGCCAAGAATTCACTTACCAGTTTCGTTTTTTTTTTTTTCTTATTCCTTGGACGCATTTCTTCAAGTCTCGCTCTTCTTGTCTTCTTCTTCTTCTCACTCGACGTGTTTTGTGTTGTCGTCATTCTTTAAGTCGGCTGTTTGACTTCCTTTTTCTCTGTTTGTCAAGTATTGGTGCACGCGTGTATGGTAGGGTCTCCCGTCTGATCACCCTCCCTCCCGCCACCTCTTCATAACCCCCTGGTCAACGTCATTATCCACAGTGTGTACGTAAAATTTTTTGCTTTGTCACGATACTATTATAGGTACTACCAACAACAATTTTTTTTTTTTTTGTTTGCATGTGTTGGTGTTTGGCGTAGCAAAGAAAAACACAAGGAACAAAATAGCAATAACAAAATGTTGCACAAGTCTCTCGTAATGTTGTTTTTGTTGTGGTTGTTGCTGGCACTGCCGCTGCTCTGCCCATTCTATGCGTCAAATGTTGGTGTGGGTCATGGTTTGCATGCTACGAAGAAGAAAGAGGCTTGACTCGATTGTTTTTTTTTTTTTTTTTCTTAGCGCACAGACACAAAATATATATTTAGCTACTATGCCACTATAACAACAATAGCAGCAAACAAGAAAATGGAACTTTGGCAGCAACTGTTACAGACAACGAGGAGGTTTGTTATTCTGCTCATTTATTTGCCTGTTTTTGTGGGAAGGGGAGTTATTTTTATATTGGCCCCATATAAAAATGTCTCGTTTTGTTTTGTGAGATTTGGGGTGTTAAGTTAGTTTGGATTTAAAATTTGCAAGAATTTGCTACTGTATATTTCGAAAAAGAGCAGAGATTTATGTGTCGCTTTTTTAATTGAATTCATTTAATGTGTTGTCTGTTTTATCAATTTCCGAAATCTGAATTTATTTCATTATCAACACGTCAACCATGCATCAACACCATATATACAGACACAGGAATATATATAGCTGTATATTTAGTAAATATTTTTCATTTAGTTGCTGGCCCTATTGATCTTTTGACATTGCAAACTTTCATTTATTTGTAATCATTTCTGAATGGATATTAAATATTTCGAAAATATTGAAATTGATATGTTCCAGTTTCTTCAGATGTCAGTGACAGACATTTGTCTGGTCATATTTTCTGTCTCTTCTCTGATAGTAATTCTCATTGAAAATATCATAAAGAATCCATTGTTCTAAATATTGATCCTACGAATTGTCTATATACATATATATCTGACCTAAACGACGTGTCAGATTAGTTCCATACCTCCTCCACTACATCTACATATGTAAAACAGCAGTAAAATAACGGACTGACCACGAATCAATACCCAGATGAAATGCCTGAAGCTAGATCTTAAACTTTTACACGAGGGTCAGTCCAAATGTATAGGCATGAGATAAGGTTGTTTTTTTTTTTGGAAATTCGTATATACAGGGTTGCCCATATTCGACGGACCCATCTGTCAACGCCATAACTTTTGACAGAGATGTCACATCGCTTAATGACAGACAGCGTTTGAAGCGTCAGTCCAAGCAGATTTTTACCATGAACCAATACACGCCACGCGAAATAGTTGAAATTTCCATTCAACAGAAGAAGTCAATTGTGAAAACTCAACGTGCTTTTAAAACATTAAAAAATGTGAGAAGTGCGCCTTCTAAGAACACCATTAAGAGTTTATACGAAAAATTTTCGACTGGTAAGGCTCTTTCTAATCCGAAGAGGCCATATAAAAGTCGACCAAGGCGATCGGCCGAGAATATCGCTGCCGTACGAGCCAGTGTTGAGAGGTCCCCAAGAACATCCCAAAAACGCCGTTCTCAGCAGTTGGGCATGGCTCGGTCCACTTTACAACGGATTATTCGCATTGATTTGCATTTGTTCCCGTACAAAATTCAATTGACGCAAAGAATGTTGCCTGTGGACAAGCCTCGTCGATGGGAATGGGCCCAAAGGGCCCAAAGGTCCGTCAAATATGGGCAACCCTGTACTATATTTGGTATTGTTTGAATAGCTAATGCTTAGAATCTGAAATTTGATATTAGGATCGTTGTTCATGTGTAGTCTTCACATATGGAAGTGATTTTGGAAGTGTATATTATAATTGTACAAAAAGTACTAAATGGTACTATATTTGGAATTGGGTGGATAAAATATGGATAAAATAACGAAATTTGATACATAGATATAGATTGTAAATTTTCAGTACTAAAAAGGCCTTACTTATGCAACGAATTTAAAATATTATGTCGGATTATTCGTTGACGAAGTAACAGACACTTGCTAGTCATATTCAAAATTCCTTAAAATATTTTTTAACTGTCCACTATTATATCCTGATAAAGCATAGACAAATAAAAGTATAGACTAAAAAGTTGTCTCATCTGTTATCTTCGAAAAAAGTGCTTCAATAGATGTCGTTCATGCTGTAAGAGAGGTTCAGTAGACTCACTCAATTCTCTCAAAATACAAAACATTGAATATTTTTATGATTCATTATTATTTATTAATTAAAAACGAAACAGTAACATTGTTTACTTTTACATTATCCAAATATGTCGTGATATATAAAAATATAGAACTTAAATAGCAGAAAAATGAATAAATTGTTTCGATGTCGAGTAACTTCAATAGCCCTGAGTGACTTAACTGGCCCAAGATCAACCGTAGTGTCATCTGCCGGAAGGGGTAAATTTTAAAACTTTTTAGTCTATACCTTTATTTTTCTATGGATAAAGTGTTAATTTTCATTTTCTTCTCTATTTTAGTTTATGTTACCAAAATTGTACTTTCTGGTATACGGTAAAAGATAACATCAAAGACTTCTGGAATGTCTATATTTTGCTAAAAAAAAGGTACAAAGGGTACAAAAAATTGTACTGTTTTTGAAAACAAAAAAAAAAAACTTTAAAATTATTAAATGACGAATAAAAAGACGTTTCAAAAAAAATATTTGTTCGAGTTTTGAAAAATATTTGGATGGGAGATTGTAATGTCAAACATACTTACCACGCAGAATCGGAGTGAATTTTTTCCTAAAACGAAATAAATAAAGAATAATTGATAAAATTGACACTTATTTAAAATCTTTAAAAAGTAACTACAATTGTAATCGATTTAAATGTAAATATCGCTAAACAGAAATATCCAGGGATATAAGTTCATTTCGCAAAAAACTGATTAATCAAGAACCACTTTCTTTCAAAGTCTTCACAAGACTACCGATTTTATGTATTATGAAGAGTTAACGGAACCATAGCTCTGGTTCCCTTAACTGAGCTATGGTAACTGTAATGTTGACAAAGTTTGTTTGTGTCCTTTCTAGTTAAATACGAATACAATATCTTAATGGACATCAATTTTACTTCCTTTCCCTCTCTATGTACCAAATTTAGTGCCATTTGGTACTTAACTTATGGTAAGCATTTGCAAACGTTTATATTTACACTTCCAGCTCTGTTATAACACTTCGTAATAAATTTGGTACCTTTCGTACACAATATAGCACATATTTCCAATAACTGTCCTCTCTATTTTGTATCATTTAGTACTTTGTTTCATGTTATATTACGGGGTTCTGAATTCAGATTTTTAGGCTGCTTTTAAGGCCGCTTAGTCACTATGTCAATATTTACAATTCTACTTATTTTCCTACGCTTTACACCAATTTTTTTTACCATTTTTTACGCTTTATACCAAATTTCTACCATCAATATCATACTTGTGCAGTAGAAAATTCCAAATTCGAAAATCACCTCCGTGTATCGATTATACATTGATTCTCATACCAAGATTATACCTCTATCCGTTCCCATAATTCCTAATACTACCAATTTTAAATCATTTTAGTACTTTTGGTAGATTTATTATTATACCCTCCACCATAGTATGGAGGGTATATTAAGTTTGTCATTCCGTTTGTAACACCTCGAAATATATATTTTATACCCCACGAAGTATATATATTCTTGATCAGCATAAAATTCTATGTCGATTTAGCATTGTCCGTCCGTCTGTTGAAACCACTCTAGCTTCCGAACGAAACAAAGTGGGTTGATAAAATTGTACTCAAATATGAATTATGTCTGCAGGACTTTTAGTATTAAATATGGGTCAAGTAGTTCCACGTTTTGTATTGTATTTGGTATTTGAAGTTCGTAATGGGTACTTCAACCTATGACAGAAAATTGTCTGTGCAGGTACACGTCTTCATATAGCCCTCATGTACAAAATACTTTGTACATACTTTTGAGTGTGATTGAGGCGCTGGGAAAATGAAGCAATAAAAAATAAATGTTCTCAAATTAAATATTTCCCAGCCGCCATAAAATATCACATGTGAAGAATTCGGTGATCTTGTGCGCTGACGCATACGATAATGTGAGAGATAATAAAGGTTATGACCCACACGCACATATATTGATGCGCTTAGTAGATGCACAAGACTACTTGAATGATATGTCAAGCAGCCCTGCAATGTTCTCCATTCAGTATTAGAATAGATAAGAACAATAGTGTGGCTGCGACTAGGTTAAGTTAGATTAGTTTCAGTAGTACGTAAGGAGCATATTTTAGAAATAAAATCAGAATTGAAATAGCACCCTAACCATTCGGTCGGTTTTCTTTTCTCATTCACCCCATATAACGGTTCCTCCCGATATTCGGAATTTTGATGATTTTAGTGACATTATTAACCGGAATTGTTTCAAATTTTTTTATTTGGAATTCGCAATGGATACTGCAGCCTGCAGCCCCCATATAACGATACCTCCCGATATTCGGTACTTTGATGATTTTCGCTACATTATTCACCGTTTTTTTCAAGTTTCGCATTTGAGTATTGTAATGGCTTATGACCAAAGTTACCTATGCAGGTCCACGTTGTCTTATAGACCCTACTATAATGGGTACATTCGGTATATTTAAGATATCACCAGAATTTTGAACGGATTTTATTTTTTTGGAAAATTGCTAAATTCGTTCCAAATAATGGATGGCATTAAAAGTTCGTCCCGGCCGAACTTACAGCTTTCTTACTTGTTCAAATTCCTAAAATATTCCTTTGGTTTGCCTATCTTACACTCTTATTTCAAATTTAAGATTTCCAGTTCATTCATTTCCCCAAATATCAAATTAAATGCCATTTAGTACTTTTCGTATTTTTTCGTGTGTTTTTCAGAATGTATCAAACTCATCTCACGAAAAATCAAGATTTTAGCTGTATCCATTCGCATAATATCAAAGGGTACCAAATATAATACAATTTACAATAACCCAGCCTTATCCCACCTCTAAACACCAACATTGACCCTCATACAAAATTTCAAAATTTTAGCTCTTTCACTTTCACCTGAACGTTGATGAATAGTCAGCCAGTCTCAAAGGAAATTCTGGTGAATAAAAAGACGCGCTAAGCTCATAAAAAAAGATGAAGGAACCATATAGTACAGGGTTGCCCATATTCGACGGACCTTTGGCCCCATTCCAATCGAGGCTTGTCCGCAGGCAACATTCTTTGCGTCAATTGAATTTTGTACGGGAACAAATGCAAATCAATGCGAATAATCCGTTGCAAAGTGGACCGAGCCATGCCCAACTGCTGAGAACGGCGTTTTTGGGATGTTCTTGGGGACCTCTCAACACTGGCTCGAACGGCAGCGATATTCTCGGCCGATCGCCTTGGTCGACTTTTATATGGCCTCTTCGGATTAGAAAGAGCCTTACCAGTCGAAAATTTTTCGTATAAACGCTTAATGGTGTTCTTAGAAGGCGCACTTTTCACATTTTTTAATGTTTTAAAAGCACGTTGAGATTTCACAATTGACTTCTTCTGTTGAATGTAAATTTCAACTATTTCGGGTGGCGTTATTGGTTCATGGTAAAAATCTGCTTGGACTGATGCTTTAAATGCGGTATGTCATTAAGCGATGTGACATCTCTGTCAAAAGTTATGGCGTTGCCAGATGGGTCCGTCGAATATGGGCAACCCTGTATATCTTCAGCCTATATCCGTGTGGTTTAACATATTTTGACCTGCGTGAGATACCAAAGAAGTGGACAAATGTTCTCCATTTCGCATCTGACCTAAGTCTGATAAAATATGACAACGTTCCACTCTATTCCACTCTTTTCTGGAGGTACCAGAAACAGTGAATCGGTGTATTCCAAACCCCTCTTTATCTAGTACTGATAAAAGTATTGGGATGTGCAAAATTTGAAGAAAATCGAATACAAATTTATGCGACCGATATATCCCATATTTACATTAGATCATTATTTATGTATAAGGGCTATCCATATTCACAATTGTGACTCCTTGTAGGGATGGTGCCATAAGGAGTGGGCCGATAAATTCTATATTTGGTTGGTAAACATCTTGTGATATACAAAGTTTCAAGAAAATCCTTCACTTAGTTTTTTTTTTGTTATGAGAATTTATACAAAATTTTGACCCTTTGTTGGGGGAGGTACCATCAGAAGTTGGCCGATATATCCCATCTCCTCACTAGATATTGTATAGGTATGATGTAACAAGTTAAAAATAATTTTATTGTATTTTCGTGATTTTAATCATAATGGAAGGTACCAGAATGAGTTGTCCGTTCTTTTCGTTCCTGAAATCAGATCTTGTGTTGGTAGAAGTATTGGGATGTGCGACATCTGTTATTTCACATCTTATAAGAGATATGATATTTCAAATTTTGATACATAATATGGGAGAGGTATCGGATGTAGTGGACCGACGTTTCCCATTTCGCCTGTTAACACCTTGTGGAGGAGGTACTCGAAGGATTGGATCGATATAGTTCATTTTCACTCCTTACCTAGCACTGATACAAATAAAAAGATAAAAGGCAATGTTTGAACAATTACTTGACTTTCACCTTTTTTTGGGGAGATATCAAAAAGTGTGGACCTGTATTGCCCGATCGATTTATATTTTATAATATACAAAATCAGCTGCTTCCTCCGAGAGGTATACTACGCAAAAGTCGGCCAGACAGACGAACGGACGGACCCCTAGTTTGTCCAAAGAGACATAGTGTGTAAAACTACTATTTCGAAGAGGCCTCTCTGCACGTATGGCTCAAGGTATGGATGGTCAAACTTCCCACAACGAAAATCGACTTCGAGGCTTTTCAATAGCAAAGTTCAATCATGTCGAAGTCGAATTACGTATTCCTAAAAAGTTTTTTTTTTGTCGAAATAGTAGTCTCTCCAATATTGAAAGATATTTGCAACGTCGTTGCATAAACAGAATTTCTATTTATACAACGAAAACTGAATCCTTTTTTCTTATTGATGTTCCTTAAACAAACTTTTCCCTTTTAAAATTCCTACCAGTCTCCAAAATATTTTGTAAATTATATTATCCTCTGTATCCTTACATAAAATTTTCTCTCATGGTGGGATCCCTTTTTTTATTATTATTTCATTGTTGTTGTAGTGTATATCTTCCTTTTTTGAAAAAAAAACAAAGTTTTGTGTTCCCATTTTCCTGTGTGGATGCGTGCTTTTGAATCGTTCATTCAACTTTGCTACGTTGGTTGGTTGCCTGCCACAAAATGATTTGTTGTTATTTCTGCTTGCCCTTTTTTCTCTCTCTGGTTTTCTTTCATATTTGCTGTTCCTTTACATGCAGCAACATTGTTTCATTTAAGTCCGAAGGCAAAACGAATCCCTTTTTGATTCCTTTAATTTTTTGCTGTCCTCCATGTATGGAGGAAAATGTGTTTTTTTATTGTTGTGATTTCTTTCTTTTGGCATGTTTGTATGTGTGTGTGAGTGCGTGTCGTGGGAGAGAGTATACGTTACGTTATAATGATGCTTAATTAGGTTCTATACGCCTTATCCCAATTTACTATGGTTTTTTGTTAAACAAAGTCGGATATTAAATGTCGGATGTAATGCAATAGAGGGGGTGGAAAATGTGTTAATAATGTGTTTTTTTTTCTTTGTACATTTGTTTGTGACATGGAGATGGAAGCGAGATAGATCCATAGTTACTTTTTAGGATCTTCTTAAAATCACTGTC